CATAATAAAAAATAGAAGATAATAATAAACTTATATATTATAAAGCTTGAGTTACTACAACTCGAAGCTATAAATTTTTTCGTTATATCCTATATATTAGTAAATTTAATCTAATTCAAAGCATTAACGTGTTTCATATACTTGACATATACTGAATATTTTTTCCAGAACCTCTTTAAGCAATACTATATCCTCTTTAATACCTTCTATATTTTTGGTTAACCTATTATGTAAAGCTACAGATTTTAAGACTTTTGATTAATCTTGTATCTATTTTCTGATAAAATTATAATGATCACTACTCATTCAATTTTTTTAGATAATACTAGATATTTTGACCTGAAATAATTAATTTCGATTTAGAAAAATATTTTTTATAGTGTATATAACCTAAAGAACTGTATATAATCTACTTGACCTATTATAATATTCTAATATGTTAGCTATCACAACTAAAATCGTAAAAAAATACAATCTCAGTTTCAAAAAGAGTGTGACCAATCTCAATGAATACACCTCAGAGTTTCTTAAAAATCTTACTGATGATAGAAAGCAAAATCAGGCATGCAGACATCTTCGTGATGGTTTTAAATTTAGCAGTGAACAGATAAATGTATTGATACCTAATCAGAGAGGTGGGAAAAATAAAACTATAAATTTAGTTGAAAGTGATTTTAAAATAGCTGTAACCAAGCTTCCAAAAAGTTTAAAAGAAGAGATTATCAAAGAGATAAGTAAATGAATCTTACAGAATAGATATGGTTTTAGTGAAAACCAAGTGAATGCCTTATTCTCTTCTCAGCAAACAAAAGCAACACCATGCACAAAGTGCTTTGTTCTATAGTAAACATTGTTATCTCTAATTAGACTCTACAAGAAACTATTGAAGATATAGCGCAACAGATTTTACAGAATAAACTTAATATTAAAGATATAAAAGCCAAAGCTTATACTTTAGCCCTATTAGCAAAAAATACTAATGCTGGTTCATCATATTTTTCTCAGCTTTAAAGAGAACTAAAAAGCCTTGATGCTTTATCTAAAATAATTAGTGCTACAAGATTTCCAGATATAACTGAAGAAGCTAACAAAATCTAGCAGAATTAGCGTAAGTTTGTCGAGGTGTTTGAAAAAATTGACTATTCGGATTAATTTATATTAGAATCGATCAAAGAAAGATTAGATAGTTATAATACATCTACTTTATCTAATTTACAAGCCCTTATGGATATTATGATAATGCTTTGTATCTGTCTTGCTAAGCTTATAACTTTATATATTACAAATGCTAGAGTAACAGATTATACTAAGAACAGGAGGTCAACCAGATATTTCTAAAAAATTTAAATCTATAAAAAAGAACTAAGAATGAGCTAAGGAACTACTCACTTGGATACAGAATTCTATATCTTCTGGTTGAATAGGTAATCCAGATAAGCTAGGGGTTAAATGGTTCAATAGATTCTTAAAAGATTATAATCTAATTTCTAATTACTTACAAAAAATGTATGCTGTTTATAGTGTGATAGCGCATAAGGCTAAGAATATAGCCTACGCTTATATAATTGCTAGAAAGTGTTTATATCACTCATCTGACAACTATACTTCTCCTGTACAAAACTACGTCGTGATAAACTACAGACCCCATGGAGTTAGTACTGATCAAGCAAGACTCTTCTGAATCTATAATAAAGATTAATCATCATTAGATAATTCAGAGCTCGACCCAGACCCAGATGAAGGCTAAATTTTTTATTTATGATTGCTAGTAAAGATCGAGCAATCCTCTCATACTAAATAATTCATGAATGAACAGATCGCCAAATCTAAAATTACTAATTTTTTGATTATAGTGTTTTGTGCCTAGACATATTGATTTGTGAAAATTGCTAGATGCAGAGCATCCTCATTTCATGAGACATTATAAAACATGCATTATTTTGTTAAAATATAGCAATAAAAAAAAACTTGCAAGTATAAATATTACATACCTTAAACCCTCGCATTGAATATTCTTAAAAATGGTTCTTCTAAAACTATTGCAATTGGTGTTGAAGTTCCTGAACTAGATTCGTGTTCTATATGCAATGAAGAAATTTTTTTGCATACTTAAAAAATCATTCACTGTATTAACATATAGTCATACTGTGCACTGTCTTTGTTTTGAGAACTTTAGAGAAACTATGTTTATATATTCTGTCAATAATTGTAGTACAAAAATTGAAATTATTGAAAGTTAGCACTAATGTGAACTTCATTACAAAGAAGTATGAGTATAGATGAAGGATCACAAAATCTGTTAATATTTGGTAAAAATTCTTTAGTGAATCTAGATATAATCATAGAAGAGAACTCTGAATCTGGCATACCTGACTCTACTACAAGTAATTTATTATCTAAGCATATTAGTGAACCAACAGATAAAATATCAAGTAAGAAACAAAACAGACTAAAAAAGAATCACATATATTAAAAGATCTTATAAAAGAATTATCTACCAAACCTGAAGCTCTACAAGATTCTGTAATTAGAAAAGAAAATACTGTTAATTTTAATGATTTGTATAATAATATAATTTATGCAGAAACTCAAAATGAAATTATAAATTAAGAAGTTATAACCAGCTATTATCTTTTTGGTAAAGCACTTGAGAATAAATATGATTACTATAAAAAAGTAATCCTAAGCAAACTGCTTAGGCCTTAATTAATAAAGAAGTTAAGTTACAACTTCTAAACTTTGTTAGCGATGACTTACTTCGAAAGAAAAAAAATGAGCTTTGAAGATTTATAATCTGTTTAGTGAAATTGGCATTGAAAAGATTTAAAGAGTTAAATCTCTTATAGTATCATCAATATCAAAATTAAGTCAGGATGAAATTGATCAAATGAGTTAGATGCTGAGAAAAGGGATGAAATTGACAAAAAAAAAGATCTTCAAAAAATCAATTTTTATATTGTAAATCTTATAATAAATTATAAAAAATTACAAACTTTAAAGAATTATACCACAAAATTTTATTAATACAACTACTTTTATGTCTTAAGTGAAAAATAATTCTAAACTTATTCTAAATTGATTTATGTAAAAAAATATCATTTGAAAAAATTATCAATTTTGTCTTTTTCTCAGCACCTAGCCCAAATATTGGTTAAATTTGCAAAATAAATATTTACTATGCCAGTATCACGTAATATTGTGAACTTAGTTCACAATCTATATAATAAATTTCAGATATTATAAAATTATGGTATATTGTTATATAAATATATATATTGTGCCTCAGATCAATTTTTGCCTTAGGTGATAACTGAAGCACCTCAGGTATTGATTGTTTAGCCAGTATTAACTAATCGACATTAACTGGTCTAAACTATAGCCTAATCCTTACTCTAATCCTAACTCTAATTCAGGCTGATTAACACCTGAGGCAAGAATTGATCTGAGGCACAACCTATATATATATATATAATTATTTTAAAACACGTTACAGATTTGTATAATAAAAATTTTTAGCCATATAGTTTTTCTGTTAATATAAAATAATGAAAGATCCGAATAACATACTTGCACATAAAGAAAAACAAAATTATTTAAAAAAGTGACATATCTTTAAAGAATAGAAGCACAGGTGTAAAGTTTGTGATGAATGCAATCACTATTTACATCTATATTGCAAAATATGCAAAAAAGTAGTAAATGGAATATATAAACGATATGAATATAATAATTTCACCCACATAGATATTCATTAACATGTATTAGGATATAAAATTTATCTGTATCACCTTGCAAGGCTTATCGTTATATATAACTTATTTGTGAGATGGCACAAGTAGTCTGGCTAAAATTACAGAATTAATACCTAACCAAAGTTTGTCAATTAATTTATACCACTTACTGATTTCACTTTGTGGAGAATGCGCACAATGTATAAATTTACATGTACAACAGAAATTTTTTCTATAGGAGTGCTTCCTATACATTTTGATAAAAAGAGTACAGAATTTTTATATAATCTTACTGTCACACCTTTTCATGTTTTACATTTCTGTTTCTATAACTCTCAAAAAATTTATTTGTATAACAACTTAATTTGTTACAACAAGTTGTGCGCTAGTTAATATGCTGTGAGTTTTTTGATTTAGTATTGTTATTTTAGGTATTTATTATTTAGATAAGCTTGGGTTGGTTATTATTTGAAAGTTAATTTTGTTTGGGTAAAGCTTTAAAAGTTTTTGCATTGTTCTTTAATGCTGTATTAAAATTTTGATTATAGTGCTTTAATGAATTTTTAGATTTCAATATATATCAGTATGTGTATGTGGGTAGTTGGTATATTTTTAGGAGAGCAAAGAGTTTTGAGTACATGTTGTTAGGTTTTGGTATAATAAAGATTTAAATTTCTGCTTATCTGTTTTGATTTCATAGATTTTGTTTGTCAATGTAAATTAAAAAATCTAGTTAGTCTGTTTTAAGTTTAAATATTTAATTATTGTATGAAGATTAATTAATAAATTAGAGTAATTACGTTAAAGTTTTTGTAGTTTCTCATTAAGTGATTGTTTTAGTATTTTTGTTTTAGTTGGTGTTTATATGGTTGTGGAATAATTGTTATACTTTTTGTTGTTTTGAATTGATGTGATAATTAATTTTTCTTGCTTTTTCAGTTAGTGTGCATATAATAAGTTTGAATATAGAATAGTGTTGGTTGAAATGGGTGCAGATAATATGTTTAGTTTAATTAGATTTATCAAGTTAAACAAGGTTCTTTGTTAAAAAGTGAGTTATTAGTATTGAAAGTTGGGTTTAATGTTATAGTGTACAAATTAGAGTTTGTCTAGATTCAGATCGATGTCTATTAGAAGAATAGATAAGTCTTAATTAGTGATTTGAATTGTTTTGTGTGATGAGTTGGTATTATTGTTACGATTGATGAATGATATCACGCAAAAAATAGAGGTCATGGTTGATCTTTAGTATAGGTGGGCATATATAAGTATTATACAATTATAACATATATAATTTAATTATTTTGAACT